ATCTCGCGGTCCGGGAGTTCGAGCCCCGCGTCGGGCTCTGGGCTGATGGCTCAGAGCCTGGAGCCTGTTTCCGATTCTGTGTCTCCCTCTCTCTCTGCCCCTCCCCCGTTCATGCTCTGTCTCTCTCTGTCCCAAAAAAAAAAAAAAAAAAAATTAAAATTAGCATCACCTATTTCTTACTTTTTTATGTGGTTACTAGAAGAGTTTAAATTACTTGTGGCATGCATTATATTTCAATTGGACAGTGCTGTTTCAAAGTGTTTGCAAGAAAGTATCCTTTGTTCTCCTGCACTGAAAACTGTTTTCAGTGCATAGCTCCGGAGCTGGGAGGTGGGTGCTGAGAGGCTGCTGTTTCCTGGGCCAGCGCTGTGCCAGGGGACACAGTCACCAAAGAAATGGTTCTCGGTGTTGTGGTGGGTGAAGGGAGCCTAGCCACCCACTCCCTGGAATAGAGACCTTCCGGCCACCTCTGTTTCTCCTTTCCTCCATTGCCTGGCTCTCCGCGGTGTCTCTGGCAGATGGGTGATGAATAAGGAGGGAGGAGGATGCCACTAGCTGGGGGGTGGTTTCTTGCCAGGAAATGAAGGAACTCCAACAGGAGGAACGCCAGTCTGAGGAAAAAACCCAGCCACCTCTGGAGTCTCAGCAGGAGCAGCAGTGGCCACTGGGGCCTCCACCAGCTCAGCCACAGCCGCAGGGGACCCCAGTCGGAGCACAGCTGCCCCAGCGGCCACAGCTCGCAGAACAGTCCCAGATCCTGCCTCCGCCGCCGCCACAGCCACCACTGTCGCCAAGGCCACAGAATGCCCAAGAAGACTCTCTTACTCAGTGCACCTCCGCGCACATTCTGCAGGATTCCCAAAGGCCAGGTCCCCAGCTTAGTTCAGTGGGAGCCCATCAATTGCCAGGGCAATCCAACTTTAACAAATTCCTTCAAAACCCTGGTGAGATGCCTGGGAAGGGAGGTGGTGAGGAGAGAGTGCCCTATAGTCCAGAATCCACATCTGTCCTCCACTGTGTCAGACTCTCTCCAGTACCTTTGGCCTTTACTTGAGGATCTCTTCCTGTGGGTACCATTGCATCACTCTGGGGCTGCGAAGGAGGCTGCTGTCTTTTGCAGAGGGTGGTTGAGAAGTTGGACCCCTCCTCCAGGGTGAGGGTGGTCAGAGGGTGGGATCTGAGCTGTAGGCTTAACAGCAGTATAGTGTGCCCTGAGAGGGCTGGAACAGGGAATCCCAGCACAGCCTCCCAGTTGGGAATTTTCTGGGTGGGCTCAGTGGGTGCCTTGCCCTAGGTAAGGGCTGCCACCTGCCCCCCC